TGTTCTTAAGTAAACAAGACATTGACACTTTGGGTCATGTCCCAGCATTAAAAAACATATATATAGATATAAACTTTTACATTAATTCTCTTGGAAAGAATGTTTTAAGTAGTAATTTTCTCTCGTGTTGTAGATTATATAAAAAACATCTACTTTAATATAGAAATTTTTAGGCTTAAAAACTTTAAATAACATGATTAAGATTTTTTGCACCCGATATAAGAATTGGGTTACTCGGTGGTACAGGATAAGCACTGCTGGAGTGGTTTATTTCTTTCTCATTTAACAAAAACCTTTTAATTCAAATATTTATCCTTTGGACTTTGCTTTAAACTTTATTTATAGTTAAAATGTCTAGAAGCTGTCTTCAGCTGAAATGCATTTAATGCAACTGATATTTTAAAAAATTTGACAAGAATGCAAAATTTATGGAAGTGTAACAATCTAAAAATCTTAATTTTCTTGTGTGAGACTGAAAATAAATGTAGAAGGAAATTAGGGAGAAAAGTAAGCAAAAATTTGAAGGGAAATTTGGCTGTCAGATATACAATGATATTTCAAAAGGTTTGATGCTTTTTAATATAGTTTCAGAATACTTCAAGGAATTTGGGTGTTCAAAGAGAAAACACTTGGACGTTTACACCAGCAAATACCATCAGTTGAGCAGAAAAGACAAAAACGATATCATTTCAGATTAAAGTGAAGAGCGACTGGTTTTCAACTATATGGTTGTATAAATTTAATTTACTTCATAGAACATCATATCATATCATAAACAGAAGATCCCATAATTTCTCAGTCAAATTATTTAATGATTCCAGAATTTATCCTGTGAGGTATATCAGCTAAAGACGTTTTCCCTCTTTATGAAACTAGTCTTTCCTTTCATCTCATTCCATCAAAATGCTTAACTGTAAAGACTGATAAAGACTCTGACCAAATACTGATGAAATGGATTGATTTGGATTATTAAGTTACGGCAAAGCCTGGCTATCTGCCTTAAAGGAGGGATGCCTTCGTGAAAAACTTTCTAAATGAAACCAAATCGTATACACATTAGACCTGCGAAAAACTATGAAAACGCTTATGCAACCAGCCCATTCGCCGGGATTCGAACACTGGAACGAACTACCTGTATTCAGCGACTTTACTGCTTGGCCGATTGTGGGCCCTTTTGAAGTGGAAGGCAATAAATATATTTAAAATTAAGGTCAGAAATACCAGTATGTTTCAAAAAGTTGTATGCTTTTTAATATACTTGCAGAATGCCTGAAAAGAAAAAAGCAAGCCATTAAGAAGAAAAAAGATGGAGAAGAAGTGTAGCCATCCTTAGAAAAGAAATTATTGTGGCCAAAAAAAAAATGCTTTAATGATTTCATTACTAATATGGATTATAGAAAGGACGGGGAAAAAGTTTATAATTTTGTGAATGGAGTGAAAAAGGAAGAGAGTGTTCAGGGAAGAGAACCCATGAAAGTAGGGTCAAAAATACTGACGGATGATCTGGTCATTGCGGATGCTTTTAACTCATTTTATTGCAAAAGACAGCATTTAAAAAACGATCTAAAGAAGAGCTAAAAGATCTTTAGAAAAACAATTATCGAGAAATTTTCTTCCAGCTCTCACTGACCTTCGGTTTTTAATAGAGATTTTCCTATTTCTGAATTGCAAATTGAATATTGAATTTTTAAAGAATTTTGACGAAAACACCCTGAATGTCCTCCTGAAGCTCTATAATAAGAGTTGGAACTCGACTGTTCCCTGCCTGGAAAAAGGCCGTCTTGATCCCAATTCTTAAAAAGAACAAACCACAGCAGGATGTGGACAGCTATAGACCAATTGCTTTAACTAGTGTGTTATCAAAGATAATGGAGAGAATGATTGTTTCCCGTCTTAAGTGGTACTTGGAAACCAATGGTTTAATATCTTCCAAACAAGCGGGATTTAGAAATTACCATTCTACAAGTCAACAAGTTGTATTCTTAAGCCAGTCAAAGATGCACTTGATGAACAAAATTCGGTACTGGCTGTTTATGTAGATTTCCAGGCAGCTTATGATAACGTTTGGAGGTTAAAGGCTGTTCAAAAATTTCAGACATTCGGTGTTGGCGGAGAAATGTTCCTTTGGTTAAAACATTTCTTGACCCAATGTTTTTGTGCTACTCGTCAAAAATACTCGTTATGGCACCAGCACTTCAAAATATAAACAAGTTAAAACGGGTTTGCCTCAGGGCACAGTTGTTAGCCCTATTCTCTTTAACATTTTTATTAACGACCTACTAGACATCTTATAATCAGATGAAATCGTGAACACTGCCCTTTTTGCTGATGATCTTGTAGTATGGGCCAGAGCTAAAAAAAAAAGATCAAGATGGTTTAAACCGAATCTTAAACTCTGCGCTCCAGAAACTTGAGGAGTGGTATTCAACTAATAATATGAGAGTTAATCAGGGATAGACTACTTGTCAGTTTTTCTATCTCAACAGACAACACTTTACTCCTAGACACTAATGTATGAGAAGTCGGTTTTGCAGCAGACGGATGGTGCTACCTATCTTTGCTGTATTTTTGACAAGTGTCTAACCTGAAGAAAGCATGCAGAGCATGTAGTTGCTAAGGCAGAGCATAGATTACCTATTTTTAAACGTTTAGCTGGTGTTAAATGGGCTTGTGGTAGAGAGACTCTCAACCTGACGTATAAAATGTATATTCGACCAATACTACATTGCTGCTGCGAGATATTGATCTCGGCTATACGAGATGTGATACAACGTCTGGAGGTCTTCCAAAATCAGGCACTGCGCATTATAATCAGGGCTGTTAAAATGACTCCCATTCTGGCAGTGCAGTTGGTATCAGAAAACCAACCAATGATAAACCTGATTCAGAAAAATGCTTTCATCCTTTTCCAGAGACTTATTCGTCTACCAAGTAACCCTCATTGGAGGAATTATGATTATAATAAACAATGAAATCTGAAGACACAAAATGTCTTTTTGCAGTGTGTGTCTCACCTAAAACAATACATTCATTTAAGAACACTGAAACTGGCACTGCTGTTTTTACTAAATCCGGTGGATTATAGCTTCCTTGATGTGTGGTTGACCTGGAAATGAAAGTTGATAAGAAGGAAATGAGTCCAGAGTAAATAAGAACTATAGCTTTGGAAACAATTGAGCAACGTTTTCGGGCTAAAGAAAGGAATACATGTATATATGGATGGCCCTTTGACCGATAGAATTCAAGGGGCTCGAGCTGGAGTTTTTAGCAAGCTTTTCAGTTTCTACATACCTTTAGGGGCTTACTCCACTCACTTTGATGGAGAACTGAAAGCCATTCATGTAGCTCTCCAACAATTATCATTGAGACAGATCTCATTCAAGAGGGCTTTAGGAGTATTGAAAGGGTGTTAACTGTGCTTTACTGTATTTTCTCTTTTAATATATGCAGTTTTCAAATGCATTATAGTCTGGGTCACAAAGTATTCTTCCGAAAGAAACGCAATTCAAATAAATAAAATCAAATTGTGGAAAGTTTCTATTAATAAATATATTTAAAATGTGCAGCTCGAATGAATGAATAGAAAATTTTAAAACAATTATCTGAAGAGAATGCAACACAAAAAAATTACCTAAAATAATAACTATGACTAAAAAATATAGTATAAAGAAAACTATTTGAAAAAAATTAAAAAAAGATGCCCCTTTTAATTTAAACTACGCAGTTCAAATGAGTAAATAGAAATTTTTAAAACAGTAAGACACCATGCAACTTAAACAATTAAAATGAAATTCAAAAAAGAAGAAAAATATGTATTTAAAATAATAACATAAAATATAATATAAAGAACATTATTTGAAAGAAAGAACGATGTGATTTTTTTCCCACTCGCGCACACTGCAAAAAGGAAAATAGGTTTCCATATATTAAGAAGTTTGCCAAATGAACTATTCTTGGCGCAAACTGAAAAAAAAGTGGCAGTATAAATTTTTTAAATTTTTCCCCCTTAAATTTCACACCAAATTTTACAAAATTTAATATTTGGGCTTAATTTCACTCGTAGAATTGAAATATATAAAAAAGTCCAATTGTTATTTCAGAAATATGTTATTTAAAAGTCCGATTTTGTGTCAAAATACCTATGTTAAAATAATGCTATAGATAAATCTAATATATATTGAATTTTGTCAGTCGGCCCAGTAGAACGGTAGATATAGAACTGTTCTTTTTGGGGGGGGCAGTGTATATAGGACTAATGTCTACTAAAACCAGTATCACATCCACTGCCTAACCTGAACAGCACATCGAAAGAAGCATTTCCTCAGATTTTCTTTTTTGGGATATTTGATTGGTCCACTTATTCAAAAACCAGTTCTTTGTGAAAAAGCTCCAAGGGCCACAACTCTAAACAAAGCATTTTCGATTGTAAAATGTTGTATCTCTCCAGTGGTAGGAGAAGGAGGAATCTTAGGAACCTTCCAATGGTAGAAGGGAGACTCATTTCTCAGAAAAGTTTCTCCTAGCTGCACACACCATTGGATGTGATAACCACATAGATTTATGTGGTTAAACAGACATCTACAGTAGAGATAAATTTAAAAAAAATCATTGTTGACTTGTCTAATAATTTGACATTTTCTAACTGAATTAAGTTTAATTTTTTTTTTATTTTATTTTACTTGGTAACTGGAATTAATTTTGGGAACAAATTTTAATATGAAAAAATAAATCATACATACAGCAATGCCAAGAGAAAGTCTGGCTAACAAATTAAAACTTTATGTAAGTTGAGCTAACAATAATTTTTCAACCATTTCTAATTCCAAGATATATATTAAATCCAAATTTAATTTTAACAGCTCATTCAAAATAGCTGTTTACTTCTTCCCGGTTGTAACATCGTAATTTGTAAATAGTGATGATTTAATAATCTGTCAAAAAATTTTAATTCTATAGTAGCATTAACTTATTTAATCTATCCTCCCTACCTTCCATTTCAGGCTTTGCAAAAACAAGAGCATAATCCAGAAGCTTCAAGACTTGCTCATATATGCCTAGAAAAGTATGAATTTCCTGTAGAGTCCATTATCTTCTTCCCTAATGGGAGTGTCATTCATCATGTTAATGCAAATGTTCTATTGGCATTGGACGATGAAGATAGTTCTTTTTTCTTAGGGTATGTTTAAAAAATGCTGTGTTAATTTCAAATTAAAAATTGTTAATCTGTATTTATACTAATATTGTCATCTTTTGTTTGTATTTTAGATCTGTGTTTTCTTTTATTATAATTTTAGCTGTACTAAATTACTTTATTACATCTTTTGACATCATTATTTGATTACATATTGACCAAATGGATGATTTTCCTCTATGGGGCTATGTCCCATAATTCGATCATTTTGAAATCCTATCTGTATTTCTTAAAAATTGCTTGTATCTAATTACGGTACTGTAAGTTTGATTTCCAGTTCAATTTTGATTGTGAATCTGTAACATGATAAATTTTCTAAATGTTACTGCTTTTCTCAAAAACTATTCAGGCTGATATTCAATTTGTAAACCATCACATTATTTTGAAGAACTGGAAACTTAATTAATTCCAGTATCCTCCCCCAAGTAGTATTCTGTGTTGTTATTGTGTAATATTGTGATATTAATAATGTAATTACTATATGTGAATGATATTGTTTTCTTTATTATTATGAAGTTAACATTTAATTTATTAACATAAAAAATAAAGTATGTAACATAATGTTACATATTTAATTTATTAACATAAAAAGGGGTTAAAATTCCAAATTTGGAATCTGTATTATCCTTTTCAAAGAAAGAAGCCATTAATTAATAACAACTTTTGGAGGGAATTAATTGTTTGTATTTTGTAAATTAGTACATTTGAATAAATGTTAGCTCACAGCTTGTAACAAATAGCTGTCCCATACAGCTAACAAACAATGTAGATTTTCTAAATCAAATGGTCGACTGAAAATATCTATATCTAAAAGTAAAATTCAGATTTATATCTAAGTTACTAAATTCAGAGCCAATGTAACAAAGAGAAATTCAACTGCCACATACTAAATCTAAATTGAAAGTAAAAAACAATCCCCGCTAGTCTTAAATTGGAATCAAATTCGTGCAATTAAACTCTGCATCATCTTTGTGATTGGGTTTATTTGCCTAACACAAAAGAACAACAGAACATTAATTTTTAGAGAATTAACATAATTGTCACAAAGTGAGTAACAATATTAGCAGCTTTAAACATGGAAATAAAGTTTATTAAATAGGGAAAAATGTGGAAAAAAAATGCCCTAACTTTCTTTCAATTGAGTCTGAGGCCATTTTATAAGCAGTGATGAAACAGTGCTTTATTAAGATTAAATAATTAAATAATATATTTTAACTTATATAATAGTAGTAAAATCGTTCATTATTTCTAATATAAAGTTTTGTTATCATCTTTCTGTAAAATGCATTTTGAGTATTTTAATAATGAAGTATTTAATTTCCTAATAGGATTCAAGATCCAGTTGAAAAGCGTTATCAAGAATTTTTGGAGTTAGGATTACTGAAGAGCACAGTTTCAAAAGTTGCATCCAAAAAAGAATTGTAAAAAGAAAAAAATAATAATAATAATAACAACAATATGACTGCTGTTATTATTCTGGGGGGGCTGTTGTGATAAGGGATTCAAATAACTATAAAAATTAGATTTATATGAAATTATTCTACAATTCTTGCATTTTCTAAAGAATTGCAGAACTGCAGCTCAAAAGAAAACTTACTATTTGTAACTGTGATATTTTTCCCGGTTCTTGTCCATAATTGTCAACCCCTTACAAATTTTAACATGGAATTTTATTTTATGAGTTGAAAAATTGTTGAATTTAACTTTTATTCTTGTTTCTAAATTTTAAAAATTATTAAATTTTGAAAGTATGATTATAAATAAGAATTTAATGATTTTTATACAAGTTTATGTCTGTTTCTAGATCTGCAGAACAGGTAATATATGTATTTATTATATGATATTCTGCTATCATATTTTTGCATTTATTAACTTTTTTTTTTTTTTTTCTGTGACTGTTTGCTTATGTCCACTTTGAAGTATTTTATATATCTGATAAAAAGAGGAAATTAAATTTTTAAGGTTTAGCAGAAGTTATTTTTCTACAATTTTTTATCATATGATAAAACTTCAGTGTTGGCTTACTTTAGCTGCTGCTTCTTCTGTCTCACAGTGCCATCTGTTAGCAAGGAGGGGAAATATGGTGCCATGAGAGTCTAAATGTCTTTGAGAGAGGTAAATGAGCAGGAAGGCTGAACTGAGATTTGTTACATAGAAGCCAGATTTGTATTAGCTTGACCTGCCTATATTTTGATCTATTTCTAGACTGAGGACTAATTGGTCACTGAGGTTGCCACAGTTAAATGTTTTACTACTAACTTTATATTTGCAAAATATATTTGATGTTATAAATTAAGTATGTATAATGAAAAAGGTGGAGTTATAAATTAAGTATGTATAATGAAAAAGGAAAATTAAGTATGTATAATGAAAAGCTAAACACTAAATATTGGATCATTTCTAACACCATATAAGTTTATCTTTTGTGATGTGATTATTAATTTTGAAAGTGAAATTTAAATTGCATATATGACACATAAATTTAGTGTGTTTTGCTATAATGTATTATATCCAAATATGTTTATTGCTGTAAATTTTGTTATTGGTAACTCTGGTTTTTATTTATGAGTAAGAAAATTGTTTTTGAACTGTTTGACTAATATCATCTTGATCAATATACAGACTGGTGCCTTAAAGTTCATACTTATTTCTAAACATATTTGTAGTGCTGAATTCAAAAATAGCATCAGTTTTATCATATCAGCTATAGCTTAAGTGATGCATCATATTTACCTTAATGCCAATTGAACTAAATAGATATATATGTGCTTGTGCACATGTGCATGTGGAAACATTTTTAATGATGCTGTAGATATTAGAATGAACGTGTAACCATAATCATGAATGGTTTAATACTTCTTTACTTCTGACAAAGCATTCTTGACATATACAGCTAAATAGGTGCAGTGTCTATGCCCGTCCTTCAACAGTAATTTTTGTGCTCTTCACATTTTTATAAGTTATATACAGTATTATACTAAGTAATATACTATTACATGTATGTCATGTAAGTAATGTACAGTTAACACAAGAAAGAAGCAGCAGATTACATGTTAGCAGGACAGAGAAGAATACTTAGGTTCTAGTATGGCTGTTAGTGAAGTTATAGTTCTACTTTATCTTGATTGGGTTAATTAAAGTTTTGCTTTTAGATTTTATGTTTCTAGAATGTTTTTTTATGTAGAAAACCTTTTTCCAGTATATAAGATTGATTTCTAAGAATCATATCATGGGAATTAATTTTGAATAATATATTTTTGTAATATTTATAATATAATTCACAAATTCTATTGCATCATCTTTCTTAGGAACAGATACTTTATCACCTTCATGTTTACTCTCAGTTAAAACTATAATTATTACATTTATCAGCATCTGAGATCACTTGTTTCTGAGTTAGATTGGCAGTTATTTTTGTATATTTATTTGAAGAATATGTAGCCATCTTTACAAAGATTTTCTAAAAGCAATGCAAATTCTGTACGAAATACCATTTTAAAAGCAAAAACTATCATTAAGTAATGTACTGGAGTCAGAGAAATGACAAAAAGGAAAAAAAAAAGAATATTGTAGTTACCAACATGCTCAATTTGGTACTAAAATAAATATTACTAGTTGTAAGAACTTCATATATAAATTATGTTTAGTACATGATCTTGTTAGATGATTTTATGGAGTTATTGAGTGGGGTGATTCTGATTTTCCATTTGAAAATGTAAAAGCACATTTCCTTGCTAAACATGTCTATGAGATGCCATAACAAGAGTTAAAGGTTAATTATGTTATTGGAATTTATGAAATGTGAACTTATTTATTTAGGGGCCATTAAAAATGCCTCCTGTCACTTTCCTTATTTACTTCAAGTAAAATAATAAAAAAAAACCTTCTTTATTCTAAGTTGTCTTGAATTATTTCATCAGACATAGTTGATATGTGATTTGGTCTCTCTCTTAAAAGTTGACAAACTATTATAGATTTTCTTGAAGTCCACTTTTTCAAATTTATTGGTAATTTTTTTATAGTTCAGTATCGGGCACATAAGATTAATATTCATTTTATTGAACAAGGAGAGGTTCATCATTTTTAGTTGTTAACACAAATCTTCAATTGATGCTCATGATGTCTTAACTTTTTTAGGTTTAAATTTATCTCACACATTTCTTTCATAATGATAGAGTGACTTGTTAGAATAAGTATGAATTGTTGTCATATTTAGGAAAGAAAAGTAGGCAAAATCTCCATTTGTCACTATATATTTGGGATTATCTGCTCATATAAAGATCTAAGATGGCTGTATCACTTCAGATTTGGAAATAAAGCTGATATAGGCAGAGAGATGCTATTTTTGAAATCAGCCTCTAAAATAAGTTTAGGTTTAATTTCCAAAGTATCAGAGAAAGGTTTTTGTTTTTGTTATTGTTGTTGATCAGTGTAATACATTACATCAAAGTTCAACTAATTATCTAAAATTTGTTTAGCTTGTTTAGCTCTGTGTTTTAATTGAGTTTTTTCCTTTGTTCAATGAAATATTTTTTAAAAAATAGTTGTCAAAATTATGTGAAACACCTCTGTTATGATTTTGAATGTAAAGAGATACATTGCAAAATATGCATTTTATTTTATTTACTCATCATTCAAAATAATATATGAAAATATTCCTTGCATGCTTCCAGTTAATTTGGTTTTAAAATGTAAAGATATATTTGTTTTGGTTGTGAAAATAATTTTCTTCGGAAAATTAAACCGAGTACTTCTAAATTTTTTGTATTGCCATAATTTTTAATTAATATTTAATATTGAGATTTAATAATACTTACAATTTGTATCATGTTTCTAGATGTAAATGGATGCTATTTAGAAAAATAATTGGAACTTGATATGAGTTGTTTTTAATTGAGTGCATTAGAATTTTGTTTAGAAAAATTAACATTTTTACTCAGGAAGTACTTTTTCATTTTGGTCCTAAATTTTTCATGTCTAATATTATTCATTTTAATGCATAATTTAAAGCAGTACTTCTTGTTACATTTAAATAAAATATATTTAACTGTACTTGTTTTCCTGTTAAAACTTCTCTCTAAAATATAGATTTAATTAAATCTTTGATGTATGTTAAGGGGTTATTTTTATAGATGGTCTTTTCATCTTGTTCATCACAAAATATTATGTAGTTTTGTATTATGATACTGCATCATAGAAGCACACTGTTGGGTGGTGCGGTGGATGTTAGAACTACACATATTTTGATATGAACAAATTTATATGCACTTTGATGCTTTTATGTAATTTATTTATGTGTTGTTTAAATGTATATAATCCAGTACTTAGAAAAATAGATCTAATTTAAAGTTATAATTCTAGTTATAGAAATTATTGTACTTAGAAATACTTAAATGCTTATAAAATGTTGTTATATGCCAATGTGGCTTTTATTATGTCAGCAATTTTAAATTTTGTTATGCACTGCAGTGAGGCTTTAGATTTAACTTCTTGTGAGCTTGCATATTTCTCTGCATAATGAATCAAAGTTTCCATCACAATTTTGCTTGAAATTTACGCACAAATGATATTTTTCTTTTGAAATATCATCTTAAACTGAACAATTTGTTCAAACTAAAATTTATAAACCGGGAATATCTTTCCCTTTTATGTCCATTTATATTAAGTAAGTTCTTGTATTTTTAGCAGGATGTCGAATATAATGCCTCTTTGGATATATAATATATATATATATATTGTTACTCAAAATATATAATGTTAACTTGCATGAAATTTGTGAATAAAATTTGTTTATGTAAGTTAATATTGTTTCTTTTTTTATAATGGACTTACACTTCAGTCTCTTGTATATTCATATTCTTGTTCCTGTAGCTTTAAACAGAGTTAAGAATTATGTGCAATCTGAAGATGTATGTTTCGTGAAGAATAAACATGCTTTCACTTTCATATATTCTTCAAATTTATAATTCTTGTACATATTTGATTTTTCAGGATATTAAAATGCATATATTTGTATAATTAGAAATAGACATTATGGTCCATAATATTCCATGCCTGTAATATTCAATGCAGATGTACAATCAAACTCAACATAATTTATTTAACATAAAATTAATTATATCAAAATACTTTTTATGATGACTTTTGTAGAATCTGTTGGGATCAAGAATTTTAGTAGAAATTTTATTTTTTTTAATGAGATACATTCCACAAGAGAGAAAAAGTAAGAATGACTATTTGTTACATTAGCTAACACAAGTCATGTGATCTCTGAGGTCATCTGCATTATTTGTTTATGTTAGCTGTACATAAGTCATATGGTCTCCAAGATCATCGGAATGTATCTGATTAGATTTTATGTTAAAGTATTGTATGTTATAATGTACAATGAATATGTTGTCAGCTGAAAATTAATACACTGTAAACTGGAAAATAGAATGTTGTTCTCTTAAATGAAATCAGTTAATTTTCAAAAGGTTGTGATTCTTAATTTTACAGGTATGAAAGAGAAAAAATGTAGTCAAGTATAGTTTCAGTGCTGTCTTGTATAGAATTTAATTTTAATAATTGTTCTTTGTGTTATCTTAGTAACATGATTAAATATTTTTCTACATATGTATTGTATATAAAAAAAATGGTATGTCCTGGAGAATAATGTTATATTAAAATGCTTCTACCAAAACTAATTCAAATAAAATTTTTATGCATTTATACTTCATTGAAGCAATTAAATGCATTTGTAAGTTATTACTAAATATGCATATACTGTACACATAATGAAAAAGAAATAATGCTACAAAATATTGCACAGACAGTCTAAAAATGAACAGTGGCAACATTTACTAAGATGGTATGGATGATAAATGCTGCTTCTAGATTCTTTTTTATTTGTAAGTTTAAAAGTGTGAAGATTTGATTTTGCAAAAGTATAGTTTTACATGTTATTTGAAAACAATATACCATCTCCGAAGTGCGAAAAAATAAATAAAAATGTCCACAATCTAGAAAAATTATCTTGTGAATTGCATGAAAGTAAAAAACATATGAATAAAATGAAATAACTCAAACAATTTTTGTTGTATGTCAGTCAAACTTCATGTATATCAGTTTTTAGAATGAGGATAAATTTTGCCAAAAGAATTCATTTTTTCATCACTCATTTTTGCTCATTCATTTTTTTTAGAATAAGGATTGTGAAAGAAAAGAAAATTTCAGCAGTGAAATTATTTATTCAAAAGGAAACAATAAATAAGGAAAACATAATGAGAAATAAAAATTCTTTGCTCACATTTCATTTTAATTTAAGGGAGTTAAGCATCCTTGTCAGCATTAAAAATGAACCTCACTCTGTACAAAAGGATCTTAAACATAGCATAAGAATTGAATTCGATACCTATAAAGATCTAAGATTATTGTTGTTGGGAAAATTTGTATTAATCAGTATACAAAGAAACTGTTAACTTTTATACATTGTCATTATTTTCTCCATTAAAAGTTGTACGGACTAGTATTATGAATACTCTAAACTGTGTTCAGAAGAGTTCTTATATGGCCTTTATTTTCTCAATGACTGGTCATAGACATTGTACTTTAAAAAATGCTGTTACATAGAAAATAAAAAATATAACTTTTTATATCCGGCTTTTGGCTCTTATATTTAATCAAAATTTATCCTCATTCTAAAAAATGAAATTCACAAAGTTTGACTAACATACAACAAAAATTGTTTGAGTTATTTGATTTTATTTATTAAAAGTTTGAGATCACATTTAGGGCTTATATTCAAATTAAAGAGTTAAATGTTTGTATTTGTATGTAATTAAAATGAAATACCAATTTAAAAAAAAAAAAAAAAAAAAAAAGGTTTCTGATATTAATACATTAAGCAACAAGAATTTCTATGCAGATTGGTGTGAAAAATATTGATCAGTATAATTTTCTTTAAAAAAGAGGTCTTGTTCTGGGAATTTTATAGAATCGATGTTCTAGACAGCAATATTAGACACATAGCCTGCTCATAACAATATTTACATAAATTTATTTGTTTATGTTCATTGCGAACTGAACTAATGTTTCCAGAGCTCATTTAAGAAGACATGAATATGCTTCTTGCAAGCCATTGAGAAAAAATAAACTTTGAAAGATTTTCATAATATTTTTATGTTTTCATGTATATATATATTTTAACTTTAAGTTTTTTATATATATACAAGGTAACCAAAAATGTTCTTGCCATTGTGGACAGTCAGAAAGAAAAAGTCATAAAACAAATAATAATCACCGCTAATCCTCAAAGTAATCACCATCGGCATCCAGTGCCTTTTGCTAATGAGTGGCTAGCTGTGTAATGCCATCCATTCATTGGCAAAAGGCCATCGCGGTAAAACTCGGGAGTCTTGCATGCAGAGTCCGTGAGGCCTTTTCGAGGTTTAGCTGGTTGTTGAAAGATTTTTCAGGAAGATGGTTGTTCAGGGAATAGAAAAGGTGGTAGTATGTTGGCACGAGGTCTGGGGAGTATGGTAGATGGGGTAGTGTCTCGCAGTTCAGTCGCCGGATGGTGTCACTGCCCTCCCGAGCCACATGCAACCTCGCATTGTCATGGAGGAGGAGTACACCCTTACGTTTGGCCAATGCTGGCTCTTTATGCATCAGTGCCTGATGTACACATTCCAGCTGCTGTGAGTACAGGCCTGCCATGATGGTTTGGCCCACTGGTAAGAGCTCATAGTGCACCACTTGGCGACTAGTCCACCAGATACAGAGCATGATCTTGCATGGGTGGAGAGAAGGTCTCGTCGTGTGAGGCACAAGGTCCCTTGATGACAATCAATGCCTGGAATGCCTGGATGTGTCATACTGGACCCATGCTGCATCGCTGGTGAGTACTCGATCAAATATGGATGCATTGCAAGCCCGAGTAAGCAATGACAAACAGGCAGTGACATGCTGTTCCTTGTTTGCATCGAACAGTGAGTGGGGTACCCACTTGCTCAACTTGTATGCCTTTCCTATGCGGTGCAAATGGTGTCTGATCATTTTATCAGATACCTGGAAGTGTGCAGCAAGCTTACCACATGCTTGACTACTGTTGCTCTCTATGGCTGCTCTCAGGGCCTCATCGTCTAGTGCTTGTGGCCAACCGCTGCATGGTGCATCACTAAGAGACATATCCCTTGATCTGAACTTCTGGAACAATTGCCTAGCCGTTCGTTCTTTAACGGCATCTTCCCAAGGCCTGGAAAACTCAGCTACTTGATTCTGCTACTGACAGGCCCACTTTAAAATCATACAGCAAACAATTCCGAAAGAGCGTCTTTGACGCGTCCATTTTAATCAGTCACTGTGTGAGTTATGTTTGAAGTGACTGACTGTTCAAATATGGCCATAGTACCTCACAAAGTGCAGTTTTTCCGGCTCGATGAAAGACTGCCACACGGGCACATCACATACTACTGTCTGAACGTGGTAACGCCAAAGGGAACAAAGTAGAAAGAAGGGACCAACACATTGCGCGGTCAGAATGAATTGCACTATCATGAAATGTTTGAAGTACCGATGCAACGCTCTTTTATATGCTTGGTAAATGTCCAAACTCTCATCCTAACCACTTATTCACCAGGTTTGGCGACTATTTTTACATAGGGGTTCACTCTCTCAGTGTCATATCAGAAACGGCAAGAACTTTTTTGGTTTATATCAAAAACTTAAAATATATAAATTAGAAGAAATAGATTATACTATCCTAGGAAAGTGAATTAAAAGTGCACTTAAATTTTATAACAAAGATGCAAATTGCTAAGAATTTAAAAAAAAAAAAATATTTTTGGAAAAGGTCTAATAAATTATTAGTGTAAATTTTTTTTTTTAAATTTTTATAAGAGAAAATTCAATTATTTTATATATATATAGAGAGAGAAGAATAAATATAAAGTAAAAAACAGCTCAAAACCCAATCCAATTATGTGCTGATAACAGCAACAAATGGTGGAAATAATGCAAAATAAATACATTTAAAATGCATCTCATATTCAATTTGGAATAAACCACATGCAAAATAATAAAAATTAAAAAAAAAAAAAAAAAAAAAAACAATAGCACAGTTCAGTACAGTTGCACGAACCTTAAGAAATAGTTGGCCAAAAGATGCTAAAACCAAAAATGAAAGGAGGTATTTACCTCGTTTGCTGCGCCATCATCGAGGATTGGTACAGCAAAAAATGTAAATAGATAAAATAACCTCTTTTTGAACTGGTAAGAACACAAATTTAAAAATTATGTTAGAAGGCAGCAGGGTAAATATTGAAGCATCGGGGGAAAAAAATAGCCAAATTCAAAATGATTGCAAAATAATAGACAAATTTTAAAAAAACTGAATACATTTATCCAATAACAAAACTTGTAAAAATAATAATACAAAAAAATGCGAAAACCATATGCAAATTTTTAATTCAGAATTTGAAAAGCAAAACTAAATGCAAGTTTTGAAAACATTCAGGTCGGGTTAAAAAATAAAAATATAATTCATAAACGATTAAAAAAGCTTAAATATCTTATAATTTGTAATGTCTATTATTGAACGGGAGGGGGCGCGAAATCTTCAGTTGACCGTGGACACTGAAAACCTTAGCAATGATTCTGTTAAAAATGCATTGATATCACAGCTTCGCTTCTGATACAGGTAGCATTTTTTGTAATTGTTATCAATACTTCATTAGAGTTGTTGGAAGTCTTTGTGGCCAGTGTATGTCTATGTAAAATGTAGTGAGTTGACTACAGCTGGAAGAGCTTCGTTTTTCTCTAACG